AATATTTTTACATAATTAGGTATCTTAATTAATTACAATTAGCGGGACCTGCCTGACAACCCATGCCGAAAGTAAAGGGAATTTAATTTGCTAGCACTATATTTAACCCTATAACTTTCCAAGACACCATAAAACCTGTACATGGGGGGTACTGTTCTACTCGGGAGACTTCGCTGAACACAAATATTAGTGTTTCAAAACAGTAAAATGTATTACAACGATGATATCGCCAGTAAAAGTGAAGTTTTTTGCATTTTTCACGCACAAACAGCATTACACGGACAATATTATTGCTGTGATACTTTTTACTGTTTTGAAACACAAATATTTGTGTTCAGCGAAGTCTCCCGAGTACAACAGTACCCCTCATGTACAGGTTTTATGGTGTTTTCAAAAGTTACAGCGTCAAATATAAGGCTTGCGTTTCATTTTTTTCACATTAAAATTCGCCAGATTGGTTACGTTGCCTTTGAGACCCTATGGTAGCCCAAGAATGAAAATTACCCCTATGATGGCATACCATTTGCAATAGTAGACAACCCAAGGTATTGCAAACAGGGTATGTCCAGTCTTTTTTAGTAGCCACTTAGTCACAAACACTGGCCAAAATTGGCGGTTTTTGCATTTTTCACACACAAACAAATACTAACGCTAACTTTGGCCAGTGTTTGTGACCAAATGGCTACTAAAAAAGACTGGACATACCCCATTTGCAATACCTTGGGTTGTCTACTATTGCAAATGGTATGCCATTATGGGTGTAAATTTCATTCCTGGGCTACTATACAGTCTCAAAGGCAACGTAACCAATCTGGCGAATTTCAATTTCAAATGTAACGTGCTATATTTGACCCTGTAACTTCCCAAAACGCCATAAAACCTGTACATAGGGGGTACTGTCTTACACGTGAGACTTTACTAAATACAAATATGTGTATTTTATTGCAGTAAAATCAAACAGTATTATGACACTGACCTTTAAAATGCAATTTAGAACTAAAAAAATCAAAAAAATCGTATTTTCTCCCATTTTTTTCATATTAAATTATGTTTCATAGCTAAATATTTGATATTAAACGAAAGCCCTGTTTCCCCTGAATAAAATGATATATAATAAGGGTGGGTGCATTTACTATGAAAGAGGTGTATTACGGTTGGACAGACATGTAGCGCAAATGCCAGGTTTTGTTTACATTTTGTTTTGTTCACAATGTGTACATTTGGCTTCGTCCTTAAGGGGTTAATACTGTGTGCCATTAGAAAACCAAAAACATTAAAACAAAGAGAAAAGCATTGGCCACAATTAGATTGAAATCCACTAGAATGGATTATCCACTAGAATTAGAATATAATCCTGCAATGTTTTTTTTGTTTTTAATTTTAATTTATTCAAGTTATGATTTGTAAATACTTTGAGATAGCAACACTGTCTTGCTTATAAATTCTAAATTATGAAATAAGGTTCTAGATATGTACTAGTGTTCTAGATTTTATATAATCTGTACATTATGAAACACTGCAAATTGCTCGCTATATATATTAGCCAAATTTAAAAAAACATTCTGAATCATCTATTTATTATATAGAGATTTCGCTGAATTAATAGAAATCTAATCTAATTAATTTGACTTTTGTGACTAGCCTAACGGATTTCTTAAGAGTGTGATGTGCATGTTCAGCCTTAGGTGAATATATGACAAACACATCGATACAAGAACCAGTCAAATATGTGATGTCTACATTACAATTCAGAGTTGGTAACTGATTGATAAAGTCTTATGACGTTTGTGTGACCTTTCTGTTTGGAAATATTCTTGCTAGCAATGCTGCCAAGTCAGAAACCATTATTTTCCTAAACGGGGCAAAAATTGTGTTTTCATCATTAATCTTGTTAATACTGAGTCCAATAGTCTGAGACAGTGAGGTTAACATAAAAAATATGCATCTTCCAGAGTTTTTCATTTACCACACTGATTGAAGGTTACGGAGAACCAATCTGAGAGGATGGCATCACGTGCATGCTGAGAGCTATGGAGAGCATTATGATAGGCAATGATCAGTGATAGGCAGTGTGTTCATGCCCAGTTCTCCTGTGTGACAATCTTTTCATTTACTGAAAAATAACATTGATTGCATTAGTAAATATAGAAGCATTTCTCGATTTCCATTATTTTATGCAGCTTATTTTCCGTCTGGCTTTGTTTTTTTACCCTGAAGCATTAGTGTGGTTGGAGCTAGACATAGTGGGTCTTATCTGTTATTGAGAATAACTTGTGGAGACAAACCTGATTTTCTAAAGTCTCTTCTCCCCTCTTACATTATTCTACCTAAATAAGCTGTGGTGGTCTGGCCCTGCTGCATACAGTGACATTATAGTCACAAGAGCAAATATAGCTTATTGTATTTGTTCTGGTAAGTATAATCATTCCCTTCAGGCTTTTTGCAGTAAACACTGTCTTTTTAGAGAAAATGCAGTGTTTACATTACAGCCTAGGGGTACCTCCACTGGCACTCCTCAGATGGCTACTAGAGGTGCATGGAGACACTGAACTTTTCTCATCGAGATGCATTGATTCAATGGATCTCTATGAGGAGATGCTGACTGGCCATGGCTGTGTTTGGCTTGTGCTGGCTCTGTCCCTGATCTGCCTCCTTGACAAGCTCAGCCACTTTTTATAGAAATGCATTGTGATTGGCTCAGATCATTACTTCTGATGATGTCACCCAAGGAGGTAGATCAGCAGCAGAGACAACACCAACAGACTGGAATAAAGGTAAGCTTTTACTATATTTAGGGGGCACCTGGGGGGGATAGATGGTGTTTTTAACACTATTGGATCAGGAATACATGCTTGTGAACAGGATGCCACTACATGATTAGTGCAATGGGAAACCAGAAGAATCAATTTATTTCTTTATTTAATCTATTTAATACAACTGCTATTGCCTTCTATCAACCCCATATGTTTCCTTGTTAAAACTGTTCCCTCAGATTTACATCTCCATGTCAACTATTTTACCGTGTTAAAAGTTCATCTCTTTTTATGCTCCCTATGCACATTTATTACATGCTGTATTTACTTACTGACATTTCAAAAGGCTAAGCATGTAGCTCACATTCACACTCTACACACAGAATGCTTAAAGCATTCACACAATGTGCACATAATTCAAGCACTGCTCCCATCATTCCAGAAACTTCTCACTTCACACATACAACATTCGCACAAAAATAATGTCACACAGTTCACATGCTACAAAAGCTTCTGAGATTTTACTTGTTTTGTTTTTTTTTCTAAAGAAAGATTTTTGAGGGGGTGGGCAAGGGTCACTTTAGAATCTTTTGCCTACAGAAGTAGTTAACCTGACAGTGCTTTCGGATTGTTTTGAATATATCTGTTCTACAGCTGTTTCCTACTCATGATATTACGAACGTAATATGTATATGAGGGTTTGTGAGGAAGGATCCCTGTGTTTTCCAAAGCTGTTTGGCTGCTCCTCTCCTTTTTGCATATATCCATTTGTTTTATATTTCATTGGAGCATAATAAATGGATGTCTTGAAACAAGTTCGTGAGTAACAAGCGACAACAAGAGTTTTTAACAGTGAAACAAAGTGGACCTCTTTCTGACACTATGGCACCTCATTTTGTAAAGTCTGAGTGACATTTGACCCCCTGCTTAAAGGGACATTCAACTACCCAAATATAAAATAAATACAAATCACTGTTTAGTTGACATACCAAAATGACAACATGATTGGGGGGTGGGGGGAGGTGAGGAGGTTAGATCTAGATACCTCTTGTAAAAGCTGCAAGTTTCTTGTCTGCAGCTTCTTCAAGCCCTCCGATTTTAAATACGTCCAGACTTTCTGTGGCTGTCCAATCACTAATTTCCCAAATCAGCTCAATGAGAAGTCTTTGAAATGCAGATGATTTTGGCAATTGCTGCCTCTTGAGTTAAGTTCCACTGAGCTAACCAAACTAGGAAGTAATTGGACATGTTGTATGCTTAAAAGTAATGTGGTGTAACCAGGTTAATATTAAAAGGACCAATTTCTACTGAAATCTGCACTTTTTACAAATACTTTTCACATATAAAGCTTTTCATCAAGCTAAAGTGAGCTTGAAAGGATATCTGTTAGTGACATTTCCTTTTTGTTGTAATCTGAGTGTTTCTTTACTTAAGGCTTTGCGAGCAAATTGTGTGTACATATTTATATTTAAGTTAATTTACAATTCCAGGTAACCCTTCATATTTTCCTCAGGAAGAGGAGTCATTTTAGACGTTCTTCAGTTGAAAGGCATCGACTAACCGACTCACTCTTCCATACCAAACTGGTCAATCACCGAATGATTATGTCAACAGTCTCTGAAAAGTTCCGAGACATTGTTTATTTGTTGTTACTCTGAGCTACTAAGAGAATCACAATGAGGAATTATCTGTTTGTCTGTCTTTGAAGCGATTTAAACATTAAAATAATTTATGTGGGCTTTTTGAAGATTCACAACTGAAATATAAAGGGAATTGAAATATAAATACATTAAAACATTATTAGAAAAAAATATATGGCTGACAGTTTTCTCAAATACTCAACTGCTAGAAATAAATTGTAGTGTATTTAAACACTCATTTTTTTTTGGGGGGGGGTAACACAACTAAGTAATGGGTTTAAAAATAATTTTGTTAATGGCTAAAAAAAATAAAAAAATGTTTTCTTACTTATCTATATGTAATATGTAAGAACAGTTAGACTGGAGATGTTTTATTAGACAGCATTTCTGCTTAAGGTTGCTTTAAAAAATATGGAGGCGGAGCTTAGCCACTGAACCGAGCAGGCGCAAAACAGAGGAAAATCATCAGCAATCATAGCCTGACGAGCCAAATCGGCCCAAGAGACCAACAGGCAAAGCAAGAGGGCAACACCAACAACCAACCAATGCCCTTTTTATTGCCGCAGACAGGCAGGAAGGCACGAAACAAAGTCAAGGTCTACCCTGCTTACGAGGCATTTGAGTAAGCACTGGGCAACGCGGTGTACTCTATCATCACACCGCTCGCGTAGAATGGGACATCCGAGCCCTCGGCAGACATGGGACGGAAATCCCAGTGAATAACTACAGGTGCATGTAAAGACATCCGCGACATAGGCACAATGCTGCAGCGCCCCACGTTCCCAAAGCTGGCCGCCACGCCTGATCCAGACATGGGCTCCACATGCTCGGAGCAAGCCCTGGGGGATACCTCAGACCCACAGTCACCCCTAGAATCACAGATGGACCCTGATGCAATGACACCGGCTACCAAGCTGGACATTAGGAACCTCTTGTTAGAACTGAAACAGATGTCTGCTGCAGACATGGCCCTAATGAGGACAGAGGTCCAAGCAGTGACCGACTGCGTGAAAACCTCAGAAGAGAGGCCTTAAAAAAACAGTACTGCAACTCCAGTCCTCCCACTCAGCCCTGCTTGATAAGCTGGAGGCTACAGAGGACAGAAGCCGCAGAATACATGTAAAGATCAGGGGCATCCCTGATGAAATAGGCCGGTCAGACCTGCCACACTACCTCAGACACCTCTTCGCTACCTTACTACCACATACGCATGCGAAATATTTCGCATCACCAAACCGAGACAGACACCTCTCCTGGCATCCAGAGATGTGATCATCTGGTGCCAAACCCTAACCGACAGAAATAACATCTTCGCAGCTGTAAAAGGCAAAACGCTGCTTGACTTCGAGTCCACCAATCTAACCTTCTACCAGGACCGAACCAGGACCACCATCCAATGAAGGAGAACTCTGGGCCCAGTGACCTGCCGACTACAAGAAGCCAATATGACCTACCGTTGGACACTGCCTAAAACCCTAATGGTCAAGCACAACAGCACCTCTCTGAAACTCTCCTCCATAAAGGAGGTGGACTCCTTCCTTCAAGCTTTAGGGCTTCCAATGGGATTTGGTCCCCCTGGCACACTTACCACTTCTCACATATGGGACCCAACAAGGACAGTCCCCTTCATACCTCAAAGGAGAGGTGCCCCGATGGAAACCACTTGACTCAAACTAACCTAAAGGGTACATAGGCACAGATGTTTTTCTTTTTCTTTGGTTCATATATAAGACGTTTTTAGTATCTTACATTTATATTTCCTCGATATGTCACCCAATTTTAAACTGTCCTCCCTGCATGGTGGGTTGAATCCAACGGTTATCATGACCACCAATGGGTATCCCACACCATACGCTTGATACCACCACAACAGGGCTAGTATGGAGACTGTCACCATCTATTTTCCCCCCCCCCCCCCCCGGGACACCATTGGTTACGGGTCATAGACCCACATTCATATCACACGCGTAAATACCTGGCTCATAGGGCAAGTAATTGATCTAACCCCTACAGCCAAGCCAGAGATACATCTGGATAATATGTAATATCCAGTATATTAAATCCTTACTGTCCCTTCAACTAGTGCACACACATGCGTTGCAATCACTAGCAGCCTATGTTTTGTTCGTTTTTTGTTTTTTTTCTATTGCACCTAGTGAGGGATACCTCACTCTTTTGAATCACATCCCAGGGGACTCACTCACACGTTATCGCAATCGACTACCTAGTATGTTACCTGCTTAAGATCCGCGATTTGCTCAGACACCCTTACGTCTAACTTTCCCATGACATACCTTAATACTCCTGGTTCACTGCTATGATATCTAGTCATTACATTTAATCCTGTTTATTTACATTAACAAAAAAATGGGCAATGTTTTTTTTTTCGATGCCACACTACTGTTATAATATGTCTAACGATCAGTTTGCACCAGCTGCTGTGGCGGTGTAAACTGGCTTGTTTAACCTATGCACGCATTAAAATAAAGAATAAAAATTTAAAAAAGAGAGAAAAATATACATTGACAAGATTTTGTTTCTTCACATATACACTTAGACATAAAATGTGTGCAATTGAATTGCCACATTAATAATTGAGTTATAATCTTGCTACCATTTATTTTGAAACTTTGCAGAGAACATAAAATTGTGACTCCAAATAGAATCACACCGAGATTTGACAAGGATAAAAATAAGGAAGTAGAGCTCATAGTGTGTTATAAAATGTATTCATTTGAAGAAATGATTAAGATCATGCACTCAAAATATTTCCGGGTGTACTAACATCCCAAAATTACTTCTAGAAGAGGGTCTCTGTTCAAGGGATCAACCAATGTGTACGTCCTAACTGACCTAGATCATTGTGAAAGTCACTATTTGGAATCCCTGCTTCACATCCTGTTTTTTTTTCTCTAATCTACTCCTTTTTTGGAAATCAGAAAATTGGACCTTAAATGTGAAGCATATGCATGTTATTAAATCCTTCACACCAATGCAGAGAGAACATTTTCTTAGTGATTTGTGCATGGGGTCCACTGTGGTATTTCCAGCAACACCATGTCACCATTAACACGATTTGTGTCATTGTCATGCTTCACTTTCTTTTTTTCAAAATGCATGCTTCTCAATGTACGGAGATATGCTTCAATAGTCTCTATGAAAGCTAAGCCACCCTGGAATTAAAAGGTGTGGTCCGGTAGCTGCACGGTGTATCACCAGTACTCCAGGTTGAGCTAGTTTGTATAATCAGTAGTCCAGCCTCTTATTGGGGTTAATCAGTTGTTATGTATATGTCTCCTTGATGGCAAGAACCAAGATGTTATCGTCACATTGTCTATAAGAGTGAACTCCAATTTGCAGAAAAGGTCAAAACAAAGATGTGGATTACAAGCCTTAAAGTTGATCAGAATTAAAGTGAATACCAGAAGGAAATTAAAATATTACACTACAACACCTGAACATGATCAAAGTCAGAGGAGAATCCTTATCAGATTCTAGAAATCAGACTAAATGTATAACAAGCCAGAACCAGGAAATAATAAAATGGATAAGTAAAATTGACCAGTAGAGTCAAACTACGTATTTCAATTAATAGACAATTTACATCTAGATGAAATCTATTATTTATATCATATAACTGTATTATTCAGCCAGAATGTTTGGAACAAAACATCAGAGAATACGACAGAAATGTCTATATATATATATATATATGTCAACGTTTCAGTCGTCTATGGGACTTTTCTCAAGACCTTGAGAAAAGTCCCATTGAAGACTAAAACGTCAACACACTTTCTGGTGTATGAGTGCACAATAAAGCTTCAAGATTTATCTACAAAGTCCTACAAAGTGAGTGCACCAAAGTCCTGTGAGTGCACCTTCCTTGATACTTATATTTTTGCATTAGTAATTTGCACACAGGCAAGGACAAGACCGGGAGAGTGAGTGCTGGATCCACGTGCATTTACATACATACATTAGATATAGATATAGATATATGTACATATTTATTATTTATGAAATATTTTACCAGGAAAGATACATTGAGATTTCTCTCATTTTCAAGTATGTCCTTGGTCCACAAAACATTGCATTGATACATTAGGGTACAATAAAATACAAAAACAATATTAATATACCAATTTTAACATAGAACAGGTAGGAAATATATAATCAACCATGACATGGCAATATATACTTTTAATCTGTTTTAATAAAGTTAGATCTTTTAATACTGAGAAGACCATGAGTGCAAGCTAACCTGTCAACATGTCTACATTAGGTGACCCTCGCTGAATGCACCTGGCACTTTACGCTTGTGTACAGCCTGAGTGCAAGCAATCTCTGCAGTGTGTGTATATATATTTACACATTGCATTGTAAAAAGTTGTGATGTAAGTCCAGTATTATCGAATAACATCAGTAAAAAGCTTTCAAGCAGTCCAGTAATTACAGTTCAAGAATTCTGTGTATGTTAATTAACATCTATTGTCAAATTTGATGCCTCTTCCAAATGCACAGTTACTGTTGTTAATTCTGAAATTCGTCCTAGGTGCTTGGGGATATTTAATATAGCTAAAGAGGCACACCAAACCACAAAAACACTTCAGCTTGCTAAAGTGCTTTAGGGGTTAACTGAGTGTTCACTCTGCCACTTCATAAAAGTTTCAGGATAAATCAGCATTGTTCTAAAGTGGCATGGCTGCACCCTCCAAGATGTCAATCAGACAGACTGGAGGCAGCTCTTCCTGATTGCTTTGCACCCCGGCACTCTATAAGAAGTATAGCAAGAGCACTACATTGGGCAATTCATTAACTTGACTTTGATAACACTTTGTAGAGACAATTTGTCATCACTTTGTTAAAACTGTGAACCTCCATGGCACCTGTTTCCTTCATAATTATAATTACCCTTCAGAGAAGTTATCTCATTGATTGGAGAGGAAACTCCAGTTATTTGAAGTATGTAACATTCTCTCTTTAAACTATGAACATAATGCCCTCTAAAGTCCTTGTAATTATCGTTCCAGTAATCCTTTGTTTGCAGAAGGAAGAATTTAGTTGTTTTGGTGCATGGGGAATGGGTATGTTGCGACTTATTGCATGGAAACAGCCTTGAAGACATGTATTGTTCTTCTTTTGCAAAAGTTCACATTTTTGGATTTCGGCTTTGACTTTTCTGATCTTTTTCATTTATATCAAATGTATAAAATTCCATACTTGTCTGTAGTAAATGTTGCTTAAAAGTATCTCTATTTATGGCAATTCTATTTTTTTTATTTTTTTTTATCGAACTTTGAAACTAGTAAGAGTGGGATTTTGGGAGGAGGAACAAACATTTGTAAAATTGTTCACACTATTTCTTATAAAAAAAAAGTAAAAAAAAGAAAAAGAAAAAGCAAATTTCCAATAAACTATTCTTGGTCAAGGTTTGAAAAGTAGAGCAATTGGATATGATTGTACAGCGCTACGGAATCTGATGGTGCTATATAAATAATAAAATAATAATAGGATGGTTGATTTTTCATGCTGATTCTATATTTTGGACTTTGCCTCTTAACTGCTCTTTATACATGTTTCCAGGCATGTGATATCCAGAAGTCTCAGACTAATGTGTGTATGTATAAAATCGTATCCACATGTCTTCCATCACCTTTTAAATCTACCCTCCCTCTTCTCTTTTTAAAAAAAAAAAATTATTTATTTTAATTTTTCAGTGCAAATGAGCTAACACATACATATTCATGTTGTCACAATATCATAGACATTTGATCAGGAAAGTGACAAGGCAAGGCATAGAAATAGCAAACAGAAATATTGCACTTTTATCATTTGGGCTAGGCAGTTGTAACAAGTCATCAATTGCTAGGAATTCAAAACTTAGATAGACTAGGGTTAATGCAACGATATAATAGAGTATCAGTATAAATGAGGCTGGCTATGTTTGAGGCTATTAAAAAAGTGTTG